GAATTATGAATGTCTTCATGTCCTTGCTCCGATGTGACATGTCAATTCATGTTAGCCGACCCCGAATCTTTTGAGACTAAGACTTGGATGTTGCTATATAAGAAATACGAATGCATTGCGTTGATGGATTCCAAATGCATGTTTCTGAGTTCGATACTTTTTTAGAACAAGCAAAGTTTTTGTTATAATCATATAGGCTAAAGGGTCAAATAGGTCCTTGAACTGACTTAAAGTGTTCAATTAGCCCCTTATATAGGAGGTTCTGCCCGGTCGTCGCCAATTGGGGTGGTTTCCCGGTGGAATTTTTTGATGAATTTTTTTAGCATCTTCTTCATTAAGTCTAGTTTATCCATACCAAATTTCAGCTAAAAATTCAACCGGGAAGGCAATCAAATGATTTTCCGAAATGTACTGCGTTGTTTAACTTCGCAGTTACCTTCAAAAAATCATTTGACTACCTTCCTGGTTGAATTTTTAGCTGAAATTTGGTATGAGTAAACTAGACTTAATGAAGAAGATGCTAAAAAAAATTCATCAAAAAATTCCACTGGGAACCGCCCCAATTGGCGACGGACGGGCAGAACCTACTATATAAGAGGCTAATTGAACACTTTAAGTCAGTTCAAGGGCTTATTTGACCCTTTAGCCAATCATATAATGTCTTTAAAAAGGTATAAATATTGTATACGAAACAGGTTTGACTTTGATACTCTTTTATGTACTCCCTCCGTCCCAATTTGTAAGATACTTTACGGTTTACGATGTTTGACCGATGATAAAGCAAATTGATCCCTGTCAACACTCAAATTAGTTTTAGATAATAAAATTTACATATTCGGAAACTACATTAAAACCGCTACAAAACCTGCAAAAAATAATTCAAATTTCATAAACTTTTGATATATAAACTAAAAGATTAAGAGTGGTTTATGTTGACCAAGTGAATAGTAAATGTATCTTACAATTTGGGACTGAGGGAGTAATAAATACCTTATATACCAGATGTACATAACACTATAACAGGTCTGCCAAACATGGTTCTATAAAAATATCAGAACAAAACAAAACTTCTGAAAACACAGGAAGCACAACAAAAGCTCTAAGAACAGACCTGATTGTTTATACCACGTAAGCGTTGAATCTCAGCATCCTTCTCGGCAATAAGTGATCGAGCAAGCCTTAGCTCAGATTGCATTTGATTCATCTGAAGAAACAAAAGGCAATGACCATATATAAACTAGAACGACATCACTCTTGACATTGAATCAACATTAGGATCCTTTAAACATGTGATAGTTGAGAAACAGTATAAAACACTTGAATACTATGGACATAACATAGTATTCATCTATGTAGCACGGAAACACGAAAGACAAGAAACAACACTCAAAGAAAAAATAGGACATAAAACGTGGGGGGAGTATATAAACAACTAATTATGTATCATTTGTAACAGAAACTTCGCGTATACAAGTGCAACAAAAAAATAAAATTGCAACATCCATAAAATGGATTAAACTTCATCAGACTTAATAAGACAATTAGATCCAAGTGCCTTCTTGGAATAACTTGTTACGTCCATTCAAATTGATTTAACTTGGAGTGATCCACAAAGAAGACATTTAATTACTGTGATGGTTACATGTTAATCAGGACTTGTGTGTAACGATCCCACACCGGTCAAGTATGGGCTTGACCGGTGGCTTATATCAAAGGTGTTTTGGAAGTGAGTTTTACATCTGGGCTTATGTCCTTGATATGGACCGAGTATGGGCTAGGTCTCATAGCAATTGGTATCAAAGTCATCCCCCTCTTCCTGGTCCCGACACTCGGAGTGGTGGTTGTTAAGACCCGGGGTTCCATCTCTGTGTCTTAACAGTGGTTTGGGCTATGGGGGTGCCAACAGTGACCAACATAATTGTGCCAACGAGGACGTTGACTCTTCGAAGCGTGGGGTATCATAACGATCCCACACCCCTCAAATATGGACTTGACCGGTGGCTTATAAGCAAGGTATACCCTCCTCCTAATCGACTGGTCTTTTGGGAGTGGGTTCTACACCTGAGCTTATGGCCTTCATATGGGCCTAGTATGGGCTAGGTCCGTAACATTGTGTTTATCAAAGTTATGAATTGTTCAGGTGAAGTGAAGGACAAACAATGTACTGCTAATATTTTGATAGAAGTCATTGATGAGATTGGTCATCCCAAAATGACACAACAACATTCAATCCTTAGTCCCAAAAGAGTTTGGGGTCGGGTAACATGAATTGACACATTAAATCAAAGTTAAAAAGGATAAAAAGTGATCAATCATTCACACTTAAGAAGAAGTTTGTACTTCCAAAATCATACTTCCATCCAACCCAAGAAGTATCATATCATTCTTGACAACTCTAATCCTCTGTTTGGGTCATGTTAAAAATTATAGTCACTAAAAGAATCATTGAAGGTATGTTTCCAAATAATTATTGAGCTACATGTGTTGTTGATACTCTTAATCTTGCTTTATAGAACATAGTGATGCGAAAAATGTGGAAAGTGATGTGAAAAACATATGAAGCAATGATATTGAGCGATTAATGATTAGAATACCAGGCTGATGGTCAAGGAAAAACTAAGCTTTATTCATGAAAAGGTTTTGGATGAAGCATTGTGGGAAAAGGTTGATTATATATTAAATCTCTGCGCTCATATTTGTGATATGATTAGGAGTTGTGATACAAACAAGTCACGACTCCATATGGTGTATGAATTATGGGATTCAATGATTGAAAAGGTGAAGATGACCATCTTTGAGCATGAAGGAAAGTCATTTGGTGAATATTCTCCCTTTTATTATGTTCTTCATCACATTTGTTGATTGTTGGACCAAGAATATACTCCACTTCATTGCCTAGCTCATTCTTTATATCCACTGTATTTTTATTGAACTCTTCTATATCTATGGTATTTGTTTAACTGTCTGTGATCTTTGTTATGAAGCAGTAGTCAGTTTATGTAATTTTGACGCGATTTTCACTATGGGTCATTCGGACACAGGCTCTCTATACTTCAGTACAGGGGTAAGGCTAAGGCTGCGTAAATCCGACCCCCCCTTACCCCACCGTAGGTGGGAGCCTTTGCGGCACTGGGGTAATGATGATGATGATGATGTTGATGATGATGATGATAATTTTAACTTGATTAATGAGTCTGAATAAGAGTAAAACGTAGTAAGATTTCTCAAATAGGAGTACCACTGTTTTCTTCCCAAAATTAAACTTGTGCACTCATAATTAGAGAAGTTTTAATTCTTTTAATAGGACTAAATAAGTCATATTTTAGATAGAAAACATATATGGTCCTATTTTAGAATTTTGCCTATGATTTAGTCTCATTTGGAGCAATTTCTATTGATTTAATTAATATTTTTACAGTATTATAATGAAAAATGGGTTCAAGACGGAGATGGCAGATTGTGTCCAATATGGACAATGAATTGTCTTTAGATAGACATAATTGTATAAAGAACATTTTTCGCAAAAGAGCGATTCAAAGCCAACGATGAATATCTTAATTTTCTTTGAACATTGGTCCCTTCATCAATCCAGATTCTCTTAGTACTACGTTTGATAAGATTCTAGGAAATAGAGGGTGGTGTATAGTGTATTGTTCGAGTTCATAATCACTCTAAAAGTTGGCTTTCATCCATTTGAATAGACGAAATAAGTTATACCCGAAGCTTTTATATGGCAGTATTACTGCCATAATTGGCAATAGTTTCCAAACATGAAACATGGCAGGAATTAATCCTATTTAAGGAACAGAAACATAGTTCTAATATCTTGAAATTCTAGAGCATTTTTTCTCCTACTATGGCAATTTCTTTTTCTTTAAAGATGATGATGTTCATCATGCAGAAAATGAGTTTGATGAATTAATTAATTATATGGGTGTCATAATTTCAACTTTGTATTGCGCTAACATATGAGAAGTTTTGGGTTTTTAGATAACATTAATATTCAATTTTGTTTTAACTAATATGCGAGAAGTTTGTATTTTAGATATGATACATTATTATTTGCAAATATTTATATACGTGATTATTTATTAAAAAACTATTTTTTATATTTACGCATTTCATCCACGTCTCACATCCTGTTTTCAGAATATATATAAGAGAAAATTCAAAGGTCACAAATTACCTCAGCTGAAATCGTGCGTAATTCCTGATCACGAGTTGCCAACAGATGAGCAAGATCAACCTGGAAAAGAAACTAGTTTCCGTTATTTCCTCACTTCAATAGCACCACTGACTCCACCCACATGGAAATAGCACTTATCTTATAGAAATACTAGAATGAACTAGATTGGAAAGTTCAAACCTAGTATAGCTGCCTGCACATTTTAAAGACCTGTCTGTGAAAATAGTATACATTATTACTATCAATGTTATTGTTATGCATACATATTTCCTTTTACGCGCGGCGAGATAAGCCTGGGTCAACAAGAATGTTTCCTAATCTTATTTGAGAAGATAAGAGAAAAAAGGCCATCAGCGCAAAAAGACACATGGTGACATGGTGAGAACGGCCATTACCTGAGGCGCACTCCCATCATTGCATCCTTCATATTTACATAAGCATTCTTGCAATCTAAGTATCTGCAAAAGAAAGATCTTGGTTAGCATTCAGCACAAATGCCCCCCCCCCCCACCCATCCAAACACACCCTCCGTATCCTTCGGTAACCATTACTGGCTTGTCTCATGCTAGGAACGTAAAAAGAAGCATTGCGGAAGGAGGCTTCACATTATTATTACTATTATACTCCCTCCGTCCCAAAAGCAACTTCCCAGTCACTATTCATTGGTCAACTTGAATCACTCGTAATCTTTTACTTTTTATATCAAATTTTTATCAAATTTAAATTTTATTGATCAGGCTTTGTAGCGGTTTTAATGTAGTTTCTGAATATGTAAATTTTATTTACTAAAAATAATCCGAGTGTGAGCAGGGATCGAGTTGCTTTATCGTCAGTCAAGCATCGTAAACCGAACGGGAAGTTAATTTTGGGATGGAGGTAGTATTAGTAATTGGTACAAGTTCCTTCAGAATTAGTCTTCTATTTTAGTTAAGTTCTAACGTAATAGGTTATGACTCTAATACTTGCTCAGCGCATGGAAGTACTAAAATGGAGGGGTTTAATCATTGATAAATCCATAACTTCGGAGTAAATTCACGGGTCTTTGGGGTTTTAATCATTGATAAAGAACTCTCTGCCAAGAGTTCTTTATCTTCATAGTGTCCATTCTTCTTCTTTCAACCACGCCCATGACAAAACTGAATCCTAATCTGATTAAGATTTTCATTTTGATCCTAAAGAATGGTGATCATTCAAATAGTTCACATTATCTGATGTACAACTAAGAGCTTGATAGTGAGCTGTGAGCATTTTACTTCTATTTTTTGTTTTGAGCATGCACGAACCACCTTGCATCATTGGCAACTTAGCACAGATTGGTAAGTTGAGTATCACATGTCACTTCATTGGAGATGACCAATGATCAAATTCTGCTTACATCAGATATCCTAGAGGCCATGATGTTCACACATATACTCATTACAGAAAAACTTATATCAACCAAGACAACTATTGAGCAATTACTGCCTACCTCCTCATTCAAAAAGTGAATATTTTCTTGTTGATAGTGCAATAAAGCCATCTGCTGATCAGAGAGCCGGCCACCATCATGATACCTGTTATCCCAAAAGAATCATAATATTACTGTCAAGCTTAAAATGTATTAGAAAATATGGTTTTTAATGGTGCGCAAGAAATGGAGTAAACCAATTACAATGAGCTATTGTCCCATCTCGACATGTATCATGATGTTTTTCTGTTATCATAATTTTTTACACAGGATCAGAGGCGTCTAATAAATTTAGAGGCCTTGTTTTAAAAAGCTCACAGAGTTCAACAAAATTAATTGTGCTCTAGTGCACATATAGAAAAGGGAAAACTGTCAATTTGGTCCTCGTACTTCATGAAAAAGTCAATTCGGTCCTCGTATTTTTAAAAAAATCAATCAAATTCCTGAACTTTGTAAAAACGTTCAATTGAGTACATTTGCAGGTTACTTGCCATGTCAGCAGGTCACCCGCTGACGTGGCGCACACATTTGAATAAAATTGCTCTCTTTGCCGTCTTTGAAGCAAAATCATCTATCAAATACTTGTATCCGATCTCCTCTAAATAATCATTTTCAATTGCTATCATCGCCAAACCGTTGAGTCTCTCTTGTGACATTGTAGATCGTTGAGTCTTTCTCCACTTGCCACGGTCACTGGGATAGTCAACATTATTCTGTATGCAATTACCACATTAGACAAACAAGTATAAATCTTAGGTCCCATTTTTTCATTAGGTGAAAAATTTCTAAAAAGTTTCAACTCCATATACAAATCATCCCCATCAACAACAGACTGTACATCTTTCTTAACAGCCCCTTCAAGATGAGAACAACATACCATCAATTGGGCATTTTCTAATGATTTCAATTTCTCAAAAGTAAATAAAAAGTCAAAAATATTCTCAAATTCCTGATATTGTTCAAACCTCCTTCTCAATGAAAACAATAGTTTGATCAATACAACAACAACATCCAAGCCTTAGTCCCAAACGATATTGGGGTCGGCTAACATGAATCGATATATGATATCACCAAAAGGAAAAGAACGAAAATAAAGATAAAAAAGATAAGCTATTATAAAAAAAGATAATATAAAAGAGATGAATATACATATAAAAGATCAAATAAAAAGGATAAAGTAATATTTATATATAAGGATAAAAATATAAAAGAAAAAGAGAAAAAAAAAAGAGGAGAAAAGATGATACAAGATCACTCTTCCACACGAATACCCGCCCTCCATTTTGCTCTCTCCAAAGCCATACTCTCATCCAATCCAAGAAGAAGCATATCACTTCTGACTCCCCTAACCCACGTCTGTTTGGGCCTTCCTCTCCCTCTCTTCCCTACCTCTTCTCCACATATCTCAACTCGTCTGACAAGTGCATCACTCGGTCTTCTATGCACATGACCAAACCACCGTAGGTGTGACTCCCGCATCTTATCTTCAATAGGTGCTACTCCCACCCTTTGTCTAATTGTCTCATTCCTCACGCGGTCCTTTCTAGTATGCCCACACATCCAACGCAACATGCGCATCTCTGCCACACTCATCTTTTGAATGTGACATTGTTTCACCGCCCAACACTCCGTGCCATACAATAATGCAGGCCCAATTGATGTCCTATAAAATTTACCCTTCAGTCTAGTCGGCATACCTCGATCGCATAGAAATCCTGACGCACTCTTCCACTTCATCCACCCTGTTCTGATTCTATGGGATACATCTCCATCTAACTCACCGTCCTTCTGAATTTTGGAGCCCAAGTAACAGAACATATCGCTGACCGGTATCTCCTTACCATCTAAAGTAATTCCGCTATTACCACTGTTTCTACCTCCACCAAACTTGCACTCCATGTACTCTGTCTTGCTTCTACTTAGTCTGAAACCCTTGTTCTCCAATGTCTGTTGCCATACTTCCAACTTTGCTTTAACCCCTGATTGTGTCTCATCAATCAATACAATATCGTCGTCAAACATCATGCACCACGGTATATCGTCTTGAATTGACTTTGTAAGTTCATCCATGACTATGGCAAATAAAAAAGGGCTCAGGTCGATCCTTGGTGCACTATGATAGTAATAGGGAACTCCGCAGTCCTCCCTACACTAGTACGAATACTTGTAGTACTATCCTCATACATATCCATGATGATGATGATATACTTGCGTGAAATGTCTTTTCTAGTTAAGGCCCACCAAAGAACTTCTCGAGGTACCCTAGCATATGCCTTTTCTAAGTCAATGAATACTAAATGCAAATCCTTGTGAGCATCTCTATACTTCTCCATAAGTTGCCGAAGAAGGTGAATAGCCTCAGTTGTTGAGCGACCAGGCATAAAACCGAATTGATTCTCTGAAATCTTCACCGTTCTTCGAAGTCTTTGCTCAATCACTCGCTCCTAAAGTTTCATGGTATGACTCATAAGCTTAATCCCTCGATAGTTGGCACATTCTTGTACATCACCTTTATTCTTAAATAAGGGAATAGTTTGATCAACAACTCATCGATAGATAGATCAACAACTTCTGACGTTATCTCGACTATCATCAAATTGATTCTTTGTTCGAATTGCTCTTCTTTGTGGAAAACCTGGATCAATACAAACTCCAACAACACACCAACTTCTGACGCTATCTCGACTATCATCAGATTGATTCTTTGTTCAAATTGCTCTCCTTTGAGGAAAAACTGGATCAATATCAAACCCCAACAACAATTTTTTCGCTTCTTCCATAGCACTTTAATAACCACTTTCTCGATATCCCTCAAAAATAATCAAAGTCTTCATCTCTTGAATAGCTACATCTAAAAGCATACTCTTTGATTGCAAACTCTTACTCACCAAATTGACATGATATATCATTTCATACCAAATGATTATTGCCACTAAAAACTCAAAATTGCCAAAAGACTTAGCTTCACTACATATTTTAAAATCATTATCTTTTTCAGCTATCTCAAGCAACGAGTTCCCAATTTGGAACCTTATGGCTTTCACACTTTCAATGTGACTCTCCTAACAAGTGGCCGATAATGATTGCAGAGTTAATCCTTTTACATTGTCTTTTAAAATTTGCCATCTTTTGGTTGAGTTCGCAAAAATTGTGTAAACGCATTGAACAACTCCAAAGAAATCTCTAGCCTTTTCACAAGCAGTAGCCATATCACATAACATCAAATTAAGACTATGACAACCATATGGAGCATAAAAAGCTTTTGAATTTATGTCTAGCAATTTCTTTTAAACTCCTTAATGTTTTTCTTTCATATTTGATCCATTATCATATCCCTAGGGCCTCTTACATCATCTATATCAAGATTCCAATTTTTTATTTCATTTTGTTAAACATCAAAAAGTCTTTTTTCAGTTGTATCATCAACATTTAGAAATCCTAAAAATAATTCCTCAAATGAAAACATCATCGGAAGACACATCCACATATTTCAATATCATAGACATTTTCTTTTGATTGCTAATGTCTGGAGTACAATCAAGTATCACTGAAAAGTACTTTGTTAGTTTAATTTTCGTATGATTTCAGACTTAATTTGAGAAGAAAGCAAAAGTATTAATTCATTTTGAATACCATGACAAAGATAATGGAAATAAATCTCATCATTTGTGATCCGCCTAACATGTTCTTAAATAATAGGATCAAACTATGCAAGTATTTCAATTAAACCTAAAAAGTTTCCATTGTTGTTTGCATACAACCGCTCATTACTAACTCAGAAAGCCAAATTATGTTTTGGCAAAAACTTGACAATCGAAATAATTCTCAACTACGCATTGCTCTCTTTCCTTTTTAATTAATCCTTGAGTCGCTTTATCAATAGTTTGATTATGTTTAAGCCTCCATTGTAAATCATACCAAGTAGCGATATTTTTAATATGCTCTACACCTATTTCATGCTCTTAAATCCTAACAAAAAGATGTGCCCAATCATTGAAACCTTCTAATGCTAGTTTTCTCTCTTTGAATTACTAAGCACTATACAACAAAAGCAAAAGATTCTATCAAGTTCCCTTGATTATAGAAGCCAATCTCGACCAAATTTCTCTCCATTTGATGACACTCTTGTATGATACGAGCAAGAAAAACGTATGTTATATTTATCTCTCGGATAACTCTGAATTGACATGTCTTGTTTCGATTCCCGCTTAACAAAAATATCAATCATGTTTGCACTTAGAGCATCCTAATCGAGGATCAAATATATCAATTCTAAAAGTTTCTCCAACATTTGGTTTATAAATTCAATATCAACTTGCACGCGTAACTTCCGACTAAACCAAATGTTGAAGAAACTTTTAGAATTGATATATTTGATCCTCAAAATTGGGATGCTCTAAGTGCAGACATGATTGATGTTTTAGTTGAGCGGGGATCAAAACAAAACATGCCAACTCAGAGTTATCCGAGAGATAAATATAACAAATGTTTTTCTTGCTCGTATTATACAAAAGTGTTATCAAATGGAGCGAAATGTGATCGAGATTGGCTTGTATATTCAAGAGAACTTGATAGAATCTTTTGCTTTTGCAGGAAAGTGTTTAGTAATTCAAGGAGACAGCAATTAGCATTAGAAGGTTTTAATGATTGGAAACATCTTTTTGTTAGGATTAACGAGCATGAAATAGGTATAGAGCACATTAAAAATATGGCCACTTGATATGATTTGCAATGGAGGCTTAAACATAATCAAACTATTGATAAGGCGACTCAAGGATTAATTAAAGAGAGATTTCCCAAAATAGGAGTAAATTGAGTTTGGAATCCCAAAATAGGACTACTATGTTTTTACTCCCGAAATAGGACTAACATGTCAGTATTTACTGTCATCTTATAGGCGTGACTGCCAAATAGTTAGAGTACAGTGCATTTAACATGACATTATTTATGATAGTTAATGATTATTTTTCAATCATGTCAGTATTTTTCATACATGACAGTAACGACTCCTATTTCGGGAAGAAAAAAGTAGTAGTCCTATTTTGGAATTCCAAACCTCATTTGCTCCTATTTAGGGCAATTTTCCTTAATTAAATAAGAAAGGAGGCACTGGAGCAATGTGTAGTTTGAGAATTGTTTCGATTGTCAAGTTTTTGACAAAACATAATTTGGCTTTCTGAGGTAGTAATGAGCGGTTGTATGCAAACAACAATGAAAACTTTTTAGCTTTAACTGAAATGCTTGCAGAGTTTGATCTATTACTCAAGAACATGTTAGTCGGATCACAAATGATGAGATTTATTTCCATTATCTTGGTCATGCAATTTAAGATGAATTGATACTTTTGTTTGCTTCTCAAATTAAGTCTGAAATTATATGAAAAATTAAACAAGCAAAGTACTTTTTAATGATACTTGATTGTACTCCGGGCATTAGCCCTCAAAAACAAATGTCTATGATATTGAAATATATGAATGTGTCTTTGGATGAAGTTATCATTGAGAAGTCATTTATAGGATTTCTAAATGTTTATGAACAACTGGCCCAGGACTTTTTGATGTAATGAATTAAAAATTTTGAATCTTGATATAGATGATGTAAGAGGTTAGAGATATGATAATGGATCAAACATGAAAGGAACACATCAAAGAGTTTGAAAGAAATTGCTAGACATAAATTCAAAAGCTTTTTAGGATCCATGTGGTTGTCATAGTCTTAATTTGATGTTATGTGATATGGCTAATAGTTATAGAAAGGCTAGAGATTTCTTTGGAATTGGTCAACGCATTTACACAATTTTTGCGATCTCAACCAAAAATGGTAGGTTTTGAAAGACAATGTAAAGGAATTAACTCTGAAATCATTATCGGCCACTCGTTGGGAGTCACATTGAAAGTGTGAAAGCTATAAGGTTCCAAATTGGGAACATTCGTGAAGCGTTGCTTGAGATAGCTAAAAAAGACAGTGATTCTAAAATATGTAGTGAAGCTAAGTCATTAGCATTGCATAAACTTGGTAATTTTGAGTTTTTAGTGGCAATAATCATTTGGTATGAAATGATATATCATGTCAATTTGGTGAATAAGAGTTTGCAATCAAAGAGAATGCTTTTAGATGTAAGTACTCAAAAGATAAAGACTTTGATTTTTTTAGGGATATCGAGAAAGTGGTTATGAAAGTGGTATAGAAGAAGCGAAAAAAATGCTTTTGAGCTTGATATTGATCCAGTTTTTCCTCAAAGTAGAGCAATTCGAAGAAGGAAACAATTTGATGAGAGTCGAGATAGCACGTCAGAAGTTAGCTGTTAATCTATCTGCCGATGAATCATTTAGGCTTAACTATTTTTTATATATTGTTGATTAAGATATTGTTTCATTAAGAAGGAGGTTTGAACAATATAAGGAATTTGGAAATATTTTTGGCTTTTTATTTACTTATAGAAATTGAAATCATTAGAAGATACACAATTGAAGGTATGTTGTTCTCATCTTGAAGGTGTTGTTAAGAAAGATGAACAGTCTGATGTTGATGGGGATGATTTGTATATGGAGTTGAAAATGGGACCTTTTGACATCTTCAGACATTTGAAGCATTATACTTGTTTGCCTAATGTGGTAATTGCATACAGAATAATGTTGACTATCCCAGTGACCGTGGCAAGTGCAGAAAGAAGTTTCTCCAAGCTTAAATTGTTAAAATCTTATTTGCAGTTTACAATGTCACAAGAGAGACTCAACAGTTTGGTGATGGTAGCAATTGAGATTTGAGAATGACTATTTGGAGAAGATCGAGCACAAGGATTTGATAGATAATTTTGCGTCAAAGATGGCAAGGAGAGTAGCTTTATTCAAATGATAACATAATAATTATATTTAGTTATTTTAAATCATGTATTTTTCTATATGAGCACTAGGGCACAATTAACTTTGTTGAACTTTGTGAGTTTTTATTATTTGTGATTTTATTTTTGTTCATATGTAGGGCTTCATTTTGATATTTAGAATAGGGCGGCCTCTAATTAATAATTATTTCTATTTCCTAATTTGCTATAAACCTATATAATATTGCTACTAAAGAAAAAAATTGGGGCCTCTAAAAATGGTGGGCGCTGTTCTATTGAACAGGTTGCACAAGCCAAAGGACGGCTCTGTACAGGATCAAAAGCTAAAATTGGAGGTACCTTAAACCCTCCAAAGAGCTTGATGGTTGAAGCGGCGAATAAAGTGATTTTAAAACATCAGGTTGAGAATCAAGCGAGTTGTACTGATGCACATAACCTGCAAATACAAATATGATAACTGCTCTGGATATTATTGCAAGCAATCCCTAGATTTACAAGCTCAAGTAAAATACTCCATACTTGCTTATTAACTCACCAATATATGCACTCATGAAGGAACTAGCACATACTACTTCAACCAGTAAAATGATTCTGCAAATGTTAGCAGCAAAAATCAACTGATTAAACAATTGTAAAGCATCTTTGAGGCGTCATAACTCGTAACATCTAATCTCCATCTAAGTATAACAGCAAACTAACTCTAATGCTTAAAATTGTTATTCTAGAGACAGAAGATGGTCCTAAATAAACTCCCTCCCTCCCTTTATTATCTCGTCATATTTTAAGAAAGTGGAATATGAGTTATTAATATTAGTTTAACATTTGTTTAGAAGAGAGAGAAACAATATCAACCTCATAATCCTTTCCTTAAAAAGAAGAAGAGATAATTTAGGGATGGAAAGGAAATGAAAGAATGGAGGGAAAAAACAAGGAGAGTATATAAGTTATCACTCCGCTACATATTTCATAAAAGATTTCTTAGAATTAGCATAAGATTTATTTTTAGGTATATGTAAACTGTGCAGCTGAAGGTGGAAATAAAGAAGGTGGTGGGGTCCTGTCTGAGAAGGAAATAGCAGTATAGAGAGAGAAAGAGAGAAAGAGAGAGAGAGAAACAGGCGAAGCAAGTGGACAAAGCTAACTAGCACCCTGCTGAACTACTGAAGGAATTGGTCCCATAAATAGTACGTGGTATAAATTATCCTAAGGGTGTATATGGGAGGGGTATTGGGAATTGTCACTCTCTTCTTCCCTGAATGCTCTGATTTTCTGTCCTCACATCTGACTACTTCCTTCAATCAATCTGCAGAATTATGTATAAATAATAAACTTGTTGTCTTTGTTTTCTATTCATCTGGTGCTGTGATCTGTCCTTGCTTTTACAGGTCATTCCTGTAACAGTCTAGTAGTGTCAAATATCCACCACTCTAGTTAAATTTAGTGTCGAGGTGAACCTAGGTTCTTCTAAGATTAATTCTAGGTTCACCACTATCTCTGTAATAGGTAAATGCCGCCTCTTCCCCTGCCTTTTTCGGAATTAGTCGTTTGTTTCCTAATTTGTGACAAGAAACTATGTTTCAAGAAAACCTAGGTTTATCCCGCATAACCTCCAATAACTCTGTTTTGGAGAACCTCCGAATCAGAGGTTTTCAGAAGTTAAGTTCTCTTTATACGTAAATTTAACATATTCACCTAGGTTAACCTTCATCCAAACAAATTATTGCTACATTCACCTAGGGTAACCTAATAATTATCCAAAAATCAATTTTTATGTATGCACCCAAGTTCACCTTGGTTCACCTAATTTTTACTAAACCCACACTCAATTAAGTTCACTAGGATTACATAAGTGCACTCTATCCAAATGAAGCATTAATGACTTAAAGTCAACACTTCAACTTATGTCTACTAAACTGAACAAGTCGTATTAGAACCACCACCACTACACCAAAGATTTTTGTTGGCATGACTGCCATGTTGGTCTCATGGACTGTTGACACTTTTGTCACTTTTATTTTATTAAAATAAGTGTCAACATGGCAACCATCAAGGGAGGTTTACGTAGAGGCAAGTGAGGGCACAGCCCAATAGCGTCTAATTTATCATTTATTCGCACTTGAAGGAATACTGCAAGGTTTTCAGAGAAGAAGAAAACACAGAAGTTATTCCTCTATGCTTAGTGAGATCTATAACATTAGTTGATATGTTAGTGTAATACGGAGCAGATCAGTCCTGCGGTTCATAGTTCACAGAAATTTAGAAATACTTTAAAATTTAAAAACTAGGAATTAGTTAATGGGTTTCATACTTTCATGTCATAGTTAAATGGGTTTCATCTTAAAATTTAGACATATTCTAAAATTTAAAAACCCATTCCTAATCTTTGAAAAGTCTGCATAGTTCATATTCTTAAAAAGAAAATTAGGTGTACAACAGTTGTAGAACCTACATTTCTCTTAATAATTTGACCTGCATGGGCTTTTAGTTTTACATCCACCACTTGTAACCATGTCACCAAAGATTATTTAAGTTTTGACCGAAAAGATAGATTGAGTAAAGTTTATCTGATTTGGTTTTTTTAGAATGTGACTGTGATTACATAAGAAACAGATAAAGTTGCTAGTTTTACAGAAGGCCAAATTTGGCTGTTCATAGTTGGCACTATTGTGGCTTTATTTTGTGACAGAGGTTGCAAAATTATCAGTAATTTTGAACTAAATCTTCATTTTCACATTGAAAAATGGTAAAATGAAGGTGTACACTACTGCCCCATTCACGAAGTAAAACAATCAGCATTATAGAATTTGGAGACAACTATTCAGATGATGTATTCAGAATGTTCTTAACCTGAGTAACATAGACATTGAGAGAAAGCTAATGTGTGGTTCCCAGACCATGACAAGCAACATTGCAGCGGTTCCTGTAAGTATATTATTGCAAGAGGATGACTCAAGTCGTTAAATGCATTGAGAATTATCAAGGTGCACCAATAGTTCATCATCAAAGTAGAGTATTCTTTAGCAGGAATCAATAGTTGTCAAAAAGAGAGGAAAAAGAGTAAACACAAATGGGTAACACAAATGCAACTTATTTAAGTTAGCCATGGTTCCAACAAGTTTAAAAAGAATGTCGATAACCTAATGGTCAAGGAGATAATGATAGCATAAAATATGCAGAAAAATCGACAATGAATTGAGAAAGAAAAAGATCAAGCAAATAATGCATACCATAAGCAACTGCAGCAAATGGTAAGCGAACTATATGCTTCAACTTCTGGCTGAAAACATAGTAGCCCTACAAATAAATGCCCATATAGTTGAGTTCTCAGTTCAAGCCAACAAGATATACGATGCTCCTAATTGAAAAGGAAAGAAATACCAACCTGTAGTCGGATTTTTTTCACTTGGTGTACTAGGTATTGTTGAAAAATGCCTGTACAACACACACATCAAAATAAGGATCATGGTGGTGGTGGTGGTGTGTATGTGTGTGTCTGGGGGAGAACACATCACTAGTTTAATTAGCACCTGTGGTAAATAAGAGGACTACATTACAACTGCATAGAAGGGGAGGCACTAATTCTTTGATGGGATGAAACACCCAACTGGCGCCCACAGCCAAACTAGCAAAACCTGCCTAGAGGTGAAACAAATCAACCAGCTATAAAATGACTTTTTTGTATTCTACACTCTACAGTTAATCATATAAGCAGATGATTTATACTTGCCAATAGAAAACAGTAGAAAATGCTCCCAGCAATGCGTGTAGGCTTCCGGCGACCAAATAAAGGTGCCTCATGTAGTATGTCAAGGAATCTAAAACAGAGTGAAGAAGAATCATGAACATTTTTACCTTTTCACTCAGAAGCTTGAAGAATCTCGAGTTACACCTTTTTAGCACTTAAAATGAAAGTTACATAGGCAAAACTGGAATACAAATCAGCAAATATGAGCAAATAATGTTATCAAACAGCAGGGGAAGAAGTGTATGCTTATTATTCGCAAAACGAGTCAAACCTGGAATAGAAGGAAGGAAGCTTTAGCACATCAAATTTTTTATTGAGTTCATCTCATCAACTTTTAATAAAAAATCATATAGCCAGGTTACAGTATTGCAAACCTAATGGATTTACTATAAATATTAGAGTTCAGGATTTCCATCATAAGAGATGCATGAGTTCTAAACTCTAAGAGGCTGTTTGGCAACACTGTTTTTTGGCTTATCAGACTTATCAGCCAGTTTTTTCACCAAACACGTAACTTTTGTTTTCGCGCGCTGAATTGTGTAATAAGCTGAAAAAGTAAGGTTTGAGTTACTTTTCTAGCTGTATTGGCTGAAGTGATTGTAGATGACCATTTTAGCTATTTTACATATTATTTTTTCTTTATTTTATTAATAAAGTATATTTTTAAAATAATTTTTTCTTAAAATAGCAGAATCAGCCCATGCAGCCACTTTAGCCAGAACTTCATAAATTTCAGCAGAATCAGCCAAATCAGCTGATTTTCGTGCTACCAAACAGACTCTAAATCAAGTCAACGGGAAAAATAAACTTATAAGATTTCATAAAAACCGTGTCCAATCAAACATAAACTGAGATCAAGCTCCACTAATAATTTACACCTAGTAAGACATAATTCGGATCCTTACACTCTGATGACTGATAAGAATAAAGAAACTGAGCTTGAGAAAAACTTCATCAGTTAGTGAAGAATGCACGAGATATACAGCACGTTCCATTTACGAAACAAGCACAGGAGATATTTTATTAATTAAGCTAATGTGTTGAATCTTGATCAATTTGCAATCCCTGGTATTACCAGACCTCCTATGATGCGCCATTAATGAAAATAGGCACGTCGTCCCTGAAATAAATCCCGTCTCCCTAAAGCCATATAAATTGTTCATTTTATGTGATTTTTCAGGTAAAGCCATATTTGTAAAATAGCAGCATAGAATCAATAACCCTAAAAACAAATTCAGAAACATATGTGAGTACAAAAAATACAACTTCAAGAGGTTCTCACAAAGTATTATCTTCGGGAGATGCAATCCCGGAACTGTGCCTTTCATTGGACATTTTCTTCTTCTTCGAGCAGTCTCAAATTGTTCGACTTTACATGGTTACGTTACACCAGTGTTGAGTTGAGATGCGAGACTGCGAGTATTAAATGGTAACAAGGTCAAATAAGCCCTTATTTAAGAGGTTCTGCCCGGCCGTCATTATTTGGGGTGGTTCTCGGTGGAATTTTTTGATAAATTTTTTTTATCATCTTATTCATCAAGTCTAGTTTACTCATACCAAATTTCAGCTAAAACTTCAATCGGGAAGGCATTCAAATGAATTCTTGAATATAACTGCGCTTCTAAAACAAAATAGGCATTTTGCAACACGTCAAATATGTTACATTAGATCGTTATAATGTTACAAAAAGTATATGCAACACTTTTAGGAGCGTTACTTCAGGTCTCGTTGCATAAAGTCATATGCAACACTTTTTATCATATTATGCAACATTGAATAAAAGTGTTGCTCAAGTGATCCAAATGCAACACTTTTTTGTAACCTTTTAATGATTATCATATGTAACATTTTAATAATAAAATGCAACACTTAAAATATACTTTTATGCAACATTTTTCTTATACATAGTTATTATTTTCATTTGCAACACTTTTTGCAACTTAGGCAACACTTTAATAGAGTTTTATTTTTTTTATTCCGGATCACATTTGCATTTAAAATAAAACATTATGAGCCCGTTTGGTAGCATCAAAATCGGCTGTTTTGGCTGATTCTGCTGAAATTTATGATATTCTGGTTGGAGTGGCTGTTTTGGCTGATTCTGCTGATTTAAGAAAAAAATATTTTAAAAATATATTTTATTAATAAATTAAAGAAAAAATTATATGTAAAAATAGCTAAAATGGTCTTCTACAGTAACTTCAGCCAATACAGCCAGAAAAGTAACTTCAACCTTACTTTTTCGGCTTATTACACAATTCAGCACGCGAAAGTAAAAGTTACGTGTTTGGTGAAAAAGTTGGCTGATAAGCCTGATAAGCCGAAAACAGAGTTCTCCAAACGGGCTCTATATCATTTACTATAACTTGTACGGAGTAACAGTTTTGGCAAAACTAAAATCTCAAAAAGCGAATGTAATAAACTAAAGTTACACAGTTATTAAACTAAAATATCGAATTGAAGTACATTAACATATTTTCTTCCCACTAGATACTGAATGGCATCATGCAAATGCATTTCTTCAAGTCTATACTTCATGTGATGAGGCAGGATCAAGAACTGGTTGGAAACCATTCTACCAAATTTGATGGAACTAAATTCATTTTTTGTCTCATTTTCACATTCCTGGCTGATTATATTAGCTCTTGCTCATCTTTATATGATTTTCTGCTGCAATTTCTTTTATGAAAGTGCCCATCTTCTTTCTCTAGGTGTTCATCATAACTCTTCTCAGATAACTGGTAGTAATGATCGAAATAAGATTGCCTAGACTCTTCCACACGTTGTCCATAAATTACTTGTTCTCTTTTCCCTGGCTTTGTGTCTCATAGTTCTTCACTTGAACCTACAAAAAATAATATACTACTTACAGAGATAATCAAGAACCCAATGATATATGACAACTGCTATTTGAAAAAGTTAAAGATATACTGGCGTTGAAAACTGAACAAGATATACTAGAGCTCTAAAGAGAAAAAAAATACATGTATACCTCATTTAAAATATTATGATGTTTCTTAAATTCCACCTCATACAAATTAAATACACCGTACTTCAAATGTAAAAGCAAATTTAACATACAAACTAGTCATTAAAGGAGAAAATTAGATGAATATGTACAACCAAATGAGCACTCCTAGCTAATTTCATATGAAATTATGAGTTTTGACTGATAATAAAATATATATCCAAACAATAAGAAAAAGCAAAAAATATGACAAGACTTACAACTTTTATGGCACTCCATTATGAGAATCTTTATATTGAGAGCTCTTAATTCTTTGAACGTTTCATTGTTTCTCCATTTGGAGTACTTTATACTCAATTGATAGGGGTATGTTCATCACCATTTGGATGAGGTAGATTGTTTTGACAAATAGCTGCACAAATAAACTTCAAAGTAGTAAGATGAAATTTGCATTACTATAAGAGCTCAAAAACAAAAATAGATCTAGTATTGTACTTTAAGAATTGAGAGAGAACAAAAAATGTCACATATATGACTAGCAAGCAAAGACATCATCATGCGAGCGTATCAAATTTACAAGTTATCATTGCGGGTACTTTGTACACCAATGAAAGAAATGTGGTCATCCCGAGGAAATCAACTAAAAATGGAAGTGATTCATAGCAGGGAGATATCATCATGCAATCTGAAATGGGGGAGCTCTACAAATGCTGGATTAAGTTTTTGATTCACCATTTAAGGGGGCTTACACAGTTACTCTGCAAAAAATAAATAGACACTCCACTTAAAATTTAAAACGCTTTGACACTTTGAACATGACCACACCTTGTGTCCACAAAATTGAGAACATGGCAGAAAATAGTTGGTACACCCGATAGGGATCAACCATTATACTAAACAACAAACATGGACTTACTTGATCACACGAAGTAGTAGTATATCTGATTGCTTTGAGTTTTATAATGTGAAAGCCCATCGAATGGATTCTAGGTGAAGAGATTACTAAATAAAGAAGGGGCCATGCACATTGTCGAAATGAGTATTATAGAAAATTAGCAAACAGTATAGAAAAGCGTGAATATAAACACAGACCAAGGATCTAAGGTAAAGTATGATTAGTATATCCACAGGAACCGAAATTTTGGAACAATCTCCAAAGACCCAACCTTTACAGATTTTCCAAGAGAAACTGTGTAAAATATTTCCAAAAGCAACACATTTTTGGATGTGATTAATGTTAGTTTTTCGAGTGCTAGTATACTGGCTGTAATAAAACGTAGTTAGTAAAACAACTTGAGTAGTACTTCCCAGTATTCATATTTGCACCATGATTCTGTCAAGAAAGCTGATAGATTGTATGTCTACAATTTGAAATATTGTAAGAGTGTTAAAAATATCACATTTAATGATTAATTTCTACATATATTTCTATTTAATTGCAGAATATTCAATCCCCCTTATAGTTGATGTTATACTATGCACGAGGGGAGCTGAAAATGATTTCCTCCTACAAGTCTAGAACTACTATAAAATTCTTAAATGCCTTTCTCATATCTATTTTAATGGCTATCCTCTAACTGAACTACCTAATACATGAATATGTTCACATGTTTTTTAGTCAAAGGGTATGACTTAAATATCTTTTTCTAGTACAAAACAAGCTCTGCCAGAAGAGAACAGTTCAGGAAGACATGCAATCAATCTATTAGCCAAGATCTTGGTGTTAATTTTTCTGAATCAGCCCTGAAAAAATTATACTTCTTAATTATTATTCAGGATCCTATACTAATATCCCTAAAGTTTCTTCCTAACAGATTTATGACAAACGCACTCAACCTATTGGTAACCACTAAAAAGCAACACATGCTTATCGTAAAAAAACAAATCTTCTTCTGAATTATCATTCGGGCTCGTAGACTAATATCCATTAACCTCTTTAGTAGTGTAAATGATAATTTTTTTCTATCTCAAATAGAATTATGATATACATATATTAGATCCATCATTATATACTTTATATGAGATTGCATACTTATCAAAAACCACATCCCTAGGTGGTGCTCTTTGAGTTATTCAAAGGTTATTACAGATTAATGCATTAGTGGAAAGAATATCCCATAGAGACATTTTAACAAACACTTTATAGGCATTCCCAACATTGAAACAGTTTGACATTAACTACCTCATTATTTTTCTCAAACATAAGGAAATCAAATACTCCACACAATTCTAGCATAAAACATATAACTGAATCGAAACTTTGAATTAAAAAAAACATGAAATCCGGAGTATATGGTCCTTTTCTCAAGCATTGGGTTAATGGCTTGGTAATTGTCAAGCTCTATATCAAATTTAAAAAAACTAAACAAATATTTGATAAACTAATTACGCAAAAATCGAACTCGAAGTATTCAATGATTAAATGTTAGATGTATAGCTTCAAAAACTTCTTTTACCTACGGAGAGCAGCAGTACACGATGGGATTTCGGCAGTGGGTGGAGTGGGAGAAACATTTGGCGGAGAAGAAGAGGCGCGTGACCTTGAGCGGCAGTCAGCGACGAAGGAGCAGCTGTGGTCAACTGGTCATCTGTGGTTTAGTGGGGTCGCCGCTAGTTTTATCCCTTACACAGCCTTAAGTTTGTAAAAGTGGGTTTTGAAATTGCTAGAGTGATTAGAGTCATATATGAAATTACGAAGTACTCCGTATTATTTTAAGTTTTTAACAAAGTTTTCAGTTTTATTTTATTATTATTAAATAAGCAAACTAAGGCTATGTTTGACACGCATAAATCTGTCTTCTAGCTTTTGTACTATTTAAAAAGTCTCTAAATGCTTCTGGTTGTATGTTTGACATGACAATTTTTAAAAACTTTTCAAAAATTAAAAGATCTTTTTTGATATGCTATGTGGAGTAGCATTTGAGAAAAGCTCGTGACTTTTAGTAATAAATTAGTCCTAACAGCTTGTATACCAAACCGACCTAAATCAAACAATCAGCTTCTTACCAAACAGCTAGCATCTTTTCTTTTTAAGATCTTTTCAGTCACTAAAAGCTGACAGTTATTAAAAAGTTTACAAAAGTATCTTTTCAGCTAGTTGTGCCAAACATACCCTAAGCATCTGGTAAAAAAAAACTAAGCAGGTGTCCTTTATGCAAATATTAAAACTACGGAATAGTACAAGTATTACAAAAGTACAATATAAATATATTTATATTTTTAAGCAACACTTAAAAACTAAATGTTACATAATGCTTAATAATATGTAACACTTTAAAGTAAGTGTTGCATAATTTTATCATCTTGATGTTTTTGCAACACTTATAAATGAGTGTTGCATAACTTCGATTTCAAATGTTTTAGGTAACACAAATAAAAGTGTTACACACAAAATGTTGCAAAAGGTCAATTTTGTTGTAGTGGGTAGACTTGTAGAGTTGTAGTCTATGTATTGTATAACTAGAGC